AAAAAAAAATTGATCAGTCATCACAGTCTTCCATTGATTTGTGTTGAACATTAGTGGTATAGTTAGTCCTGTGTACAGATTACAAGAGGTATCATCTTTGCCTTCCAAATGCACACAGCCTAAGACAAACACATTCATATGCTCTCTCTGCAGAATGGTTTTCAAACTCATTCAAGGACACGATACCAGGAGGCCAAGAAACTATTATGGTACACAGTGAAATATACGTACATACCCATGTAATTTCACCTTGCAAGCTGGACATACTTTTTCTAGCTCTCTGTCCCCCACCCCTATCCCATATATAGGAGCCTGACACATACAAGCATGTACATGACAGATCTCTGTACTTGTAAAAATAACCTAGAAATTATTTCTGTAAACTCGCACTTCTGAATAGCCACATGCTTTGTTTATTCTTCTGACCTTCAGTTAAAACTGTTAGCACAAAGAGTATCAGGCAACAAAAGTTTAACAAAAACACAGGGCAAAGCTTACATTTCACTTTTTATTTCAATTAATTTTTATGCATGTAATTTTTTTTGAAAGTTTTTAGGGCGCTTGGGTGGCTCAATTAATCGCCCAACTTCAGCTCAGGTTATGATCCCACGGTTTGTGAGGTCGAGTTCTGCGTTGGGCTCTGTGCTGAAACTCAGAGCCTGGAGTCTGCTTCACGGATTCTGTCTCCCTCTCTCCCTGCCCCTCCTCTGCTTGTCCTCTGCTTATGTCTCTTTCTCTCAAAAATAAATAAGGGGCGCCTGGGTGGCGCAGTTGGTTGAGCGTCCGACTTCAGCCAGGTCACGATCTCGCGGTCTGTGAGTTCAAGCCCCACGTCGGGCTCTGGGCTGATGGCTCAGAGCCTGGAGCCTGTTTCCGATTCTGTGTCTCCCTCTCTCTCTGCCCCTCCCCTGTTCATGCTCTGTCTCTCTCTGTCCCAAAAATAAATAAATGTTGAAAAAAAAATTTTTGTTAAAAAACAAAAATAAATAAACGTTTAAAAAACAAAAAGAAATTTTTTAAAAGTTTTTTTTTTTTTTAGGGGTACCTGGGTGGCTCAGTCAGTTGAGCACCCGACTCCTGATTTCAGCTCAGGTTCCCAGGGTTGTGGGATCTGAACCTCCACACTAAGCACAGAACGTGCTTAAGAGTCTCTTTCTCTCTCTCTCTCTCTCCCTCTCTCTCTCTCCCCCCTCCACCCGGCCCCTCTGCCCTGCTCACAAGCTCTAAAAAAATAAAAAATAAAAATATTTTTAAAAAAATTTTTAAGTAACCTCTACACCCAATGTGGCACTTGAACTCATAACCCCAGATGAAGAGTCACATGCTCTTCCAAATGAGCCAGCCTGGTGCCCCTCTATTGATTTTTAAATGAGAGTCAGAAGACCGACATTCCTCGCTCCAAAAAGCTCTGGAGTGCCATAATTTCATGAATTATCAGTGTTCTCCAGGAACACAGGTTAACAATCACCGATTAATAACAGTGGGAGAAGAGGACAGTAGACAGATGTAATTTCACCTGCCCTAGCTCCCAGACCTCAACCAGAGTGGCCAAAATATGAAAGATAAAGCGAAACATTTGCTTGAGCCTTCTTTCCTTCTCCAGAGTGCATGGTAAGGTAGCTCAGTTAAAGATAAGAGTCAAGCAAGAGCCATGGTAACCGACTCTCAGATGGATAATTATGGTGTCAACAGCCATAGACAGGCTGAAGAAGGCATTTTGGCAAAGTGCTGGTTATGCCCCTCTTCCCCCTAGAGGGAAAATTCTAAATTCTAAAAAACCAGCTTTTCTTATTGGTGAGTGGCTTCCTGCTCTGAAGAACCTAGGATCCACTGCACAGCACATAGTTTTCACAATGCTCCTTCCATGGAATCTGCGGGAACCATGGGGGCAGGGAAAAGGATATGTGAGACCGTGTTAAGATAACCACTGAGATATGCGACTGTCTTCCAGCACATTAAGGTCAACATACCTCTTTTGGGGATACAAATCACCATTTCACTATCTTGTTGGGACAAGCAGATGGTTGTGTCTGGAATCTCTGATACGATATCAATCAATTCACAAACACCATATTCAGTGACATCCCAGTCTTTTGAGAAACACCTAGAATTTAACCATGGAAATGGGTAAAGAATGAGACATATCACTTGCTAAATAAACTTTGTAAGTTTTCCAAAAGAATGTTAAATAGAAAACGTTAGGTAATTATTTTAGATTTGTGGGAAGAAAAAGTGTCTTAAAATATTTGCTTTCATTTTTCTCCCCCTTCTCATCAACTCACCAATGGTAAGCCTGTGAGAACTCCCTCACAATGACCTGTTTGCTGGCTTGGGATTTGAGAAGTTTTAGTAAATCCTGAGTAAAGCGCTTCACCTGGGCCCTGTGGGTAAGGGTCAACAACCTTTTGGAGCCCATTCCGAGGATCTGTAAATCAAACACTTTGATTATTTATACTCGTAAGACCTTGGCACATACTGACTTTCTGGTTGATGGCATTTTCTCTCTCCTGTTACCGCTCTCAGACAATAAGCCCCTTTATGTGTGATGTCTGCATTTTCAAACACATGTAGATCAACAGAATGTAGATGTTCAAAATGAACATCTGCTCAAGTGCCTGGGACCCCTCACCCCCTTTTTGTTTGCCCTTCATACCCCTCCTCAAATAGTTGTGAATACAGACACAAAAAGCAACTAATTTTGTCTACAAAAGACAGCTAAGGTATTCCAAGCCATTTTACAAGTGGGAAGCTGTTTTACAGGTAGGAAGCTATATAACAGTCTAGGTTAACAGGTAAAGAAAGATTCCTTAGGAACCAACATGAGGCTCCAGCCCAGGAGCTCGTCTTTCACTCATTTACGAGAGGTAAGCCCGTGTTCTCGGCAGCTCCTCTCTAAGAGTGAACAACCCTGGAGAGCTCTGGGTTAGGAGAAGGGAGGTCAGTCTACACAGATTAGAAGAACAACACTTGACAGTGCTCTAAGGAGTTCGTTCTTTAAGTTGAAACTCACAGCTTTCTGCAAAAACCAAGAAGCCATCTTGGATGAGGTTACCAGCTAACCCATTTCTTCGGCTGAGGTAGCCAAAGCCACAGAGGAACATTCTCGTCTTTAAAATAATAATAATTCCTGAACTTTCCTTACCTGCAACACATGAGGCACAGCTTCCAGTAATTCTATCAGCTTGGAATATCCATAGTCTGATACCCGGCACTGCTTTGCAAAATGATGGTGGTAGGACGGGATGAAATTACTAATTGGGATGACACAGGACGGCTGGCTCTTTAGCAGGTCAATCACTTCCCTGCTAAACTGGATCAGCTGGGGGTTACCCACAGGACTTTTAGAACGCAGAAGCCAAGGATCTAGACAGGGGGAGAAAAAGAGAGCATTCCTAAGATATAAAGTGGGATCTTACCTCTGAAACAAAGGTAACTAACCTTGCACTCGCTCGCCTGAGCTCACCCATGACGACGCAGATGAGACCAAAGGGCCTCTTTACTTCTCAGCATCTATATTCGGGTTCTATATAATAATCAATGGGCCAGCCCAACTTCTTTATGGGCTGGCAGATGTTTTCCCACTATTTCTCGAAGTCCAGTAGTCAAAGCACAGTTCAGCATAGTGTTAACTTAAAGCAGAAGTGAAATTCCACAGCAAGTTTCCACCTTATAAACTCGTATTTCAACGACTCATTTGCATCTTGGTCCTGCGGAGCATACTTTCCCACAGAAACAAAGTTATAGATGGTCAGCAAGCAGGTAGCCCAGAAGAGCCGAGCTAACCCATGTGGAAGCTGAAAACATTACCCAGAAAATCACGGAAAGCAGCAATGTAAAACTAGCTGATATAAGAGTAAGAAAGAAATTTTTCTTGAACGCCCATGTAATTGAGGAAAAGTTTTCATTATAAAAGTATAAGCAGACAAAAACCTTTCTAAGACACTGGCAGGCTAACAACACAGGAGGAAGGAGAAACAGCACAGGCCCGGGAGCCTGCACAGGCCAGGGCTGAGGGGAAAGGCAGGAGAAGGTGGCAAGCAGCGTTGCTACCAATCTTTCTCCTTCCCTGGTTATCCTCACCCTTCTTCCTATAGGGGGAAAGAAAGGGAGGAAGTATTTAGGGTCAAAGAGAAGGAAATGTGCATATAGCGGCAACGATTTGCAGTGCTGTTCACAGGTCATGGGATTAGACACCTGCGACTCAGGGATGCCCAGAACTCAGCAACCCACCCAAATCTGGGTTCACATTTCCTGGTCTTTTATACTAACAGCTAAATCTGTTTTCAGATTTATCCAAGTCAGAAATGTTGACCACAATGAATTTCACAGGTAAATCTGCATTTAGAGAGATTTTCCTTCAACTACTTGAAACTATTTTTAAAAGGCTAGCCAACTGACAAGCCAAAAAGTCTCACAAAATTAGGTAGGGCTAAAGAGATTCGTCATTGTGAAATGTGGATTTTACATTTTTTTTTTTTCAACGTTTTTATTTATTTATGGGACAGACAGAGACAGAGCATGAACGGGGGAGGGGCAGAGAGAGAGGGAGACACAGAATTGGAAACAGGCTCCAGGCTCCGAGCCATCAGCCCAGAGCCTGACGCGGGGCTCGAACTCACGGACCGTGAGATCGTGACCTGGCTGAAGTCGGACGCTTAACCGACTGCGCCACCCAGGCGCCCCAGGATTTTACATTTTTTACATAGCTTATGCTGGTACTCCCCAAAAGTCTTGTTCTGCCAAACCTTAAGCACTTTAGAGAGTAGTTTTTAAAAGATCAAAGGAGGGCCGCCTGGGTGGCTGTTGGGTAAGCATCCGACTCTTTGATTTCGGCTCAGCTCACCATCTCACGGTTCTTGGGCTCATCAGGCTCTGAGCTGACAGCATGGAGCCTGCTTGGGATTCTCTCTCCCTCTAGCTCTGCCCCTCCCTCACTCGCGTGCATGGGCATGCATCTCACTCTCCCTCAAAATAAACAAACATTTAAAAAAAAAAAAAGATCAAAGGAGACATCCACAGTGCTTTGTGCTTGGCAAACAGGGCTGCTGTGGAAGATAAAGGCCAACAGCCTCCTCTCCTAGTAGGTGGTGGCTCAGAAACATCCGATACCTGCCTCCTACCTGTGTTTGGAGGTGGGGGCTTGTTGTGAATCCATTTGACCACTTTGACACCATTCTGTGCAGTGGCGATGTTTACACCTGGAACACAGGTGATGAGGTGTTCTAAGGGGACACCCCCTTGATTTTCCTGCACTATTTCCAGTTCACCGAACTCTGCAGCATAACAATCTGGAAAGCTGAAGTGGGGAAAAAGAAGGGTAATTACAATAATGGAAAAGCAAAGCACCTGCTAAACAGAAATCTCTATCTTAATATATCCACAAATAAGTAATTTCTGTTTAAATCCCCAGGATCTGGGTTTGAACATTAGAATTAAGGTCCGAGGCAGGGGAGACAATCACTGTGGCACTGACCTCTTTGATGCAGTCTGATGAAACCAGAAATTCCTAAACAATTTTCCCAGCAGAGGGTGTTAAAAATAAGGCAACTGGGTGCTCAGTCAGTGATTTACCTGCTTCAACGCATTAGTGGCTTTTCTCTCTCAAATTTTGCAGCCCAGGGCTGAAGGCTGTGTACCCTCCTCTAGCACGTGTGTGCACCTGTAGTACAGCACTTACAATAATCTCGTCTTTGTGGAGAACAAGCTTTCTTATTCATTCCTTATGTTTCTAAAAATCTGCACAAATTTTCTTGTTCAAGTATTGAGTGAATGGATCCTATTTCAGATCTACTTTGACTGCAAGGTGCTAAAAATGTTAGGATGAAGCATTCTATAATACTTGCTTGGGAAGAGGTGTGGGCAGAGGGCAGACTTTCTAGAAAGAGGAGAACTAAGGCCTCATATCTCAATGGCTTTGACATGTTCACCTTAATAAAGGCACAGTGCCCTCATGTGTCTGCAGAAGACTATGAACCTGGGGCGCAAATGTCTTCAAAGAGAGGATCACGAAAGGAATCTTATAGGAGTCTGGATCAAATTCGTGTTCACTACAGAAAAGAGAACAAAACAGTTAGCTGACGTTTCTCAGTGGTCTAAAAGGTCTTCAAGGTAACTAACAGACGTTCAAGGACCTTATACACAAGGATTATTTCTAGAAGGAAACGAGGTTCTACCTGAAGTCCTTATCGGGGCAATGCTGTCTGCAGACAGGCTCGTGATATTCTAACTCTTCAAATATAATTGGGCTGCAATTTGTCGAGGAGCCGTCATGTGACTGCGAAGACCCCAAGGGGCTCTGCCGGGCCTGACTGCTGGGCAACAGACACACCAGTCTTCCGTTTCCTTGTTCGCGGATTGCCACCGTGTCTGTTAACTTATATAAATCCGATACGTTCAACTTGTGTCCAAATCTAAAAGCAAGGATAAGGGGACAGAAGTTGACTTGGAATGTTCTTCTCTGATTACACAGAAACGCCTGTACTGATTAAGTAAAGGGCTATTGCTAAGAACGGTTCCTCCACCTCTTCAAAAGTAAGATGGGATTAATTCTACTCTAAATTATTTCACTCCCAAGCCAGTAACACTTGGCACTTCCTTTGAGTCACCTCTGGCTCACTGCCCATCAGTCATTATGTCATTTGCTACCTAACCCTCGAACCCCTGCAGTTGCTGCATATGACCTCACCTCACTGTCTCAGATGGAAAGCTATCTGACATGACCTCTTTTGACTCCACTCCCCAAGCTGGAAATCCCTCTGTACCAGCCCTCCCCATCTCTGCTCTGCTACCTCAGAAGAGGTAGGCTCCTTTCCAGCTACTCCCTCACCTCACCTATTCCTGAACCTTGAGACCCACACTTCCTGAGACTGGACTCCTCAATCATCCCCCCACCGTGTGTGTATCTTTCATACTTGGGAGCTTAAAGGCACAGGCTTGGAAGGCAGACAGATTTGAGTTCATATCCTTTTCTCTCCAGGATTTTATCCACAGGACTCGGGAGGGATGGCTCTCAAGTCACCAGCGGCTTCCTCCTCCCCTCCCCACAAAACCCCATGCCACATTCTCCGCTCCCTCAATGACGCCAGCCATCCCCGCATGTCCTGGTAACACCCTCACCTCCTGGTTCTCTCCTGCTTCCCGTCCCAGGTGGTATTCCATCCAGTTCTGCCCTTCTCTTGGCTTCCCCTCACTCCCTCCCTGCTTCCCTGCCTCTCCTGATCCCCTTTAGGAAAGTAACGGTCACATCTTCATTATCTCCAATGTCCAAGCCAAGGTCAAAACCTCACTGCACTTTCTGGACAGGCTTTATTTTCTATTTCTGTTTTAACCATACTAGCATCCTCTCAGTCAGCCAGGACAAAACAACTCAGAATCAAACTGCCTCTCCTCTCCATCTTGCCTGCTACATAAAACTAGTCACAATGTCCTATTTCACTGACAAACTGAAACTTCGGTGTTCCAACAGCATCTGCTTGGACCCAGGACTGGGACAGCACTGTCCCTTCTTTGTGTCCTTCTCTGCCCTGTTCATTCCATCTCAGCTTGCACCGCCACCACATGGCCCGTTGTTCCGCCACTACTCAGGGCTCCGGGGCTTCAGAGTAACAGTCCAGCTCTTTGTTTTTTCCATCCTTAGAGCATTTTCTCCTCCTCACTCACTTGGGGATAGTTTTCTTTTTTCTATGTGATGATTTACGAGTATTTCCTCTTCCCGTCCAGACAGAAGCTCAAGGACAAGGATCGTGTCTTCCCAGCTCTGCACTCTCCACAGAGGCTCAGACTTTTTAAAGATTTTATTTTGGGGAGGATGGGCTAAATGGGTGATGGGCATTAAGGAAGGCACTTGTTGGGATGAGCACTGGGTGTTCTATGTTAGTGCTAGATCACTGGGTTATGCTCCTAAAACCAAGACTACACTGTATGTTCACTAACTTCAATTTAAATAAATAAATTAAAAAAAAAAGATGTTGTTTTTAAAAGTGATCTCTACACCCAACGTGGGGCTTGAACTCACAACCCTGAGATCAAGAGTCACACGCTCCACCAACTGAGCCAGCCGGGTGCCCCTAGACTTCCATACCACCCATACTTCCTGAGCATCTACTAAGCCCTGGGTCCTGAAGAGATGGTCATAAGTCAGATCCAGTCCTTGTTGTCCTAGAGCTTACAGCCTAGAAGGTGCTCGAAAATGTTCATTCAGTGATGAACAAAACGAATCAGTCAATGGGAAAAACATACAGCTTTAGGGACTGAGGTCTAAATTTATTAAAAATGAAAGACGTTTTTAAAATGTATGTTAAAATAGAAACGTGAGGGGCGCCTGGGTGGCGCAGTCGGTTAAGCGTCCGACTTCAGCCAGGTCACGATCTTGCGGTCCGTGAGTTCGAGCCCCGCGTCAGGCTCTGGGCTGATGGCTCAGAGCCTGGAGCCTGTTTCCGATTCTCTGTCTCCCTCTCTCTCTGACCCTCCCCTGTTCATGCTCTGTCTCTCCCTGTCCCAAAAATAAATAAACGTTGAAAAAAAAAATTAAAAAAAAAAAAAAAATAGAAACGTGAATCTGGATACCATTGTCTTTACATCATTTCCTCCACCAGGCTGGAAATAGTCCTCAACAGCTTTTCCTCAAGAGATTTATGCCAATCACCAACCAATATAGGAATTCTGGAAGCTGCCAATCAGTACTGACCAGATCAATGAAAAAAATAATAATAAACCTAACTTACTTTTTTTCATAGATATCTGTAAATTTAAAAAGAGGCAGACAGCAGGCAGGAGCGTCCTGAAGAATAGACATTGTTTCTGCACTGTAAAACAAAATTTTACTCAATTAGAAAACAGATGTCATTCGATATCAACAGAGGATTTCCAAGTGGTATTTTAAAAACACAGTTCATAGGGAGCGGAAAAATAAACAAAAACAAAAACAGAGTTCATAAAACTGATTAACACAATGTACAGTTGACCCTTGAATAACATGGGTTTGAACTTCACGGGTCCACTTATATGTGGATTTCTTTCGATAAATGCAGTACAGTACTATAAATGTATGTTCTCATCATTATGATTTTGGAAACATTTTCTTTCTCCTAGCTTATTTCATTGTAAGAACGTAGCATATAACACATACAACCTAGGTGTTAACTGTTTATGTTACTATATCAGTAAAGGCTTCCAGTCAACAGTACAGTACACGATTAGTAGTTAAGATTTGGGGGAATCAGAAGTTACATGGGGATTTTTGACTGCATGGGGGGGGTTGGCACCCCCAACCCCTGAGCTGTTCAAGGGTCAACTGTATACACAACATAAATTTACCAGTTTCTGGTATGTCAAAATTTATTTTCTGGAAAACCTTGAAAAAGAAAGACTTTAGGGACAAGGTGATTAAAGAATATAAAGCCAGACACTGGGATTTTTATCAGACTCAAGCAGAGCACTTTTCACACCTGTGTATCAGAAGGACAATGACCGCTCAAATGAGACAAACACCTTGTTAACAGAAAAAAAAGGCAGAACAGCTTGAATGGCTCCTGCCACGTCGTGTGTCACGTGTTAGAGACGTGGACGTAGAATTCCCACAGTGGAGGATACACAAGCAGATACAATATCATCCCAACTATAGTTTTAAAAAGGGCAGCCAAGAACGATCAGAAGAAAACAAATAGGCAAACCGTTGCATGACTGGCTTCGAGCCACAGGATTATGGATTCCCACTACGCCCCACCCCCCACCCCCCAGCTTCTTTTGTATTTCTGACCTTTCCAAAGTTTCTTCAATGAGCATTGTTATTTTTATTCTAGGGGAAAAAAACATAATTTAAAATAATGGTGAAGTACACGTTACGGAAAAAGATCTTTGAGAGTTTAAACAGATTTTTAGGAGTGAGTTCTGTTTTACTAGTTGTCCCCAAAACAGGGAAAGCCGAAGAAGAAGAATCAAAGCACATTAAGAATGAAAGCACCACCAGATTCCTACAATTGACAGAGTTGAAGGCAGACTTACAGAGCTGAGTGTCTATTTGATGCTAAGGATATATCTGCAGGTTGAGAGCTTACAGCTTTGTACATCTACCCTCTACAGACAAACCCACCTTCTCCTAAGATTTGAAGGGAACATTGCAGACTTTCCAGGCTTATAAACATTTACTGTAGAGGGCTACTATTTTTAGAACCTGTTCTGGATATGCGGTGTATTATTTTACTCCTAACCGCCTGCCAAGTTTAAGCTGTACTTCACCTTTGAGTAGTGGACTTGAGTAAGAGTTGAATTATTCTAACCAGCTTATTGCTACCTTCTAGCTCATTTTCTAAGTTCTGTCACAACTGAGAATAAACATTGCTGCGTGTGTAATCATCAAAGAGGGTTGGGAATGTGATGAAATCTATTTTATTTTTTCCAAAGTTGTTTCTGGGCCAAGAAGTTATTTCCTGAAATAAATGGTTTGTTTTTACCTCAGTAAAGAGAGTGATTTATTAGCAGCTCCTGTGGCAAGTGAGACCAGGATCTTCTTGCTGCCAATTTTGTATCTGTGGAGGCTATTCACCGCACTGATTGCTTCTTGTAAGTTCTCCATCTGAACAACAGCCTTGAGCTGATAATCTGTATGGGGGCTGAGCTCAACACTCTTCACCTACAGCAGTAAAAAGGAAAAGGGAATGCTAGGTCTACCCCGAACCCTGTCAGCTTCAACCTGAAGGTGAATTATGAAGGAACACGTCTGTGGACTTCCGTGCTTCTGTGAGGGAACATGTCTGAACGCTACGCTTCTGCCAAGCAAAACCTAAGTGAACCAGGACTGGGTGACCTTCAGAGACGTGAAATCGGCCCAGCCTGGCTGCGTGCTCTGGCACGCGCAGCTCTCTGATGCAGGCTCGGGAGCCAATATGTGCGAGGAGTCTTTGGGGTCTTCTCCAGACCCTGCAAACACCCGGGGCATAGCCATTTTAATCATCTGGAATAGGTGCACTTCTAGCAAACGGCACCTAAAAACCCCATCAGACACAGTAAGATACTCACAAAAACAGCCAACATTACTTTAGAATCCTACTTCTGTATTTTAGCAGCCAGAGTGAAGTAAAATCCATCAGAGTTTTATTCCCCAAAGTGCCACTTAAATCCGTGCCCGTGACCACGAGTGCCTCTCCCCTAGGTCTCCTGCTCTCCGGGGCTACGCCCTAAAAACTACAAGTACAGCATCACCGTGAGCAGACCACAGGAAAAAGGAAGGAGTTCAAACTCATTCAGTGATACGTCTATCCTGGCTGCGCTTACGTGTGTTGAACTACGTTCTCCCGACTTGAAGCGCTAGCAAAGGGTAAAAGGAAGGCAAGAGGGGGTGAGAAGGTTACCTTGCCGTGCCTAGAAAATGCCTCCTGCATAAGCTGCTGCAGCTCCTTCCGGGATAATCTGTAGTCGATGTTGCTGATCTGGATGTCAGCACCATTTGCAAACGGGTCTGGGCTGTCAGCACCAATGCTCGAATTTGCAATGTTGAAAGCAAGTGGGGACGCTCTGTTTAAAAGGTTTGGAGACATACTCCTGCTTAAAACATACATGGTGGAGTATTTTTAAAAACTGTTATTCTATTTACTTAGTTTAAATCACTTAGGCTCTGTTTGAAGCTATATATAAAAACAGCTTTCCGTAATGCAACCAAGCAGAATATTTGGTTTTCAAATGTATTTTTATCTTAAATGTACACTGATTTAGACTTATTTCTAAAAGTACTACCTATTGACCTGTTATTAACAACCAGTACACAATTTAATACCAAATATTCTTTCATTGGATTATTTAACACTAGAGGCAGAAACTATAGGCAGACCCGGTGAATTCATTTTCTACTCTGGGTATTGATTCTTGGTGAATTAGCCTGCGATACCAATAAAAGTCATTTAACTTCTCCCTGGCTCTGAAAACGCTACTGTCGCTCACGTGTTGTAGCCTTTTATGTGAATTTTTAATTTTAACTTTGCAGATCCAAAGTCACTTTCTGGAGCGAGCCTTCAGCAACTCAGCGCAACAAATACAATGTGTGAAGGAGTTCACAAGGTGCAACGTGGCCTCATGGCTCCTGTCCTCCAAGCTTCCAGAAGTACTCAGTGTGAGTCTGGAGAGCTTAGATAAGGTAAGCGTTACTTGGATAAGTACAGTGGTCTACAGACTGCCCCCCACTCCTGCTTCTCAAATGGCTCCCTGCAATTACCCTGTGAATAAGAATAACCAGGGCACGTATAGTTGGGGCTGCTTCCCCAACATGACAAAGTGAGGAGGAAACAGTAAGGACATCTACATGTGCCTCCCATCATGGCCAGGGAGTCCGAGTTAAGTTTCTGTGATCTCTGCTTACCTAGATTCCCACGTGGAGGGGAGAGACGTTGAGGAGCACGGCCCCCCATCATAAGCTAAGACGGCCTGAGGAAGGGGGGCTGGAGGACGAGGAGGGGAGGACTCATCTCTTATTTCTGTATTCATGCACTTGCGTCGCCGGAGTTCCTTTGAACCAGCATCGTGTCATCATCCCTGCTACTGCACGCAAGTACCCCACGATCAAGCAGGTGGACTCACCGAGAAGACCAAGACTGTGCTGCGAGCAGGGGACTGACTTGCCGTGACGTGATCAGCTTGCTGAAAGCAGATGGGTAACTCACTTGGAACGGAGTCTCCTCTTTCTCTTTGTTCTCTACAGGAGAGCTGGTGACACTCCGGGGACAGGGGTTCTCTTTCCTAATGGAGGGAACACATGAAGGGAAAAGGTCACGTGCTTGCCTTCACATTAGACAAGAGGCCGTGAGGAAGAGTAACGTAACCTACTTCGGGTTGGTTTTGTAAGCGGGTTCTGCCGTCCCCGAGTTTTTGGGTGCGGGCGCTGCAGCGCTCAAGCTTCTGTGGGGAAGCGCCACCAGCCTCAGGTGGCCTTGCTGGGAGTCACTGCTTCTAGCGCCAGTCTTTGACTCCATGCGGCAGAGCTCCTTAAAAGAGACAAGCGCAACGGAATTTAAAACTGAAGCGACCAAGATGTGTTAAACCCTGTACAGAAAACACGTAACTGAGAATCGTCAAAAACGGAAAACAAAAAAGGACATGCCGAAAGCAAGCGGGGCATGTAAAACACGGAGAAGAAGAAACCGAACCTACCGTAAACTTCAGAAAGCAAGAGGTATCAAAGTTACCTGTAAACTTTTAACATTTGTGTTTTTTGTAGCAGATCCAGAATTTGCCTGCGACCCTTTTCCAGGCGTGGCTTTGGCACTGGAAGATTGTTCACTCGTATCTTTGATGAGGCACAATTTTGGATTCTTAAGTTTTTTGGGAGACTTCACTTTATCAGCAATTGCATTGGAACTCTTTGTTTCACAGAGTTCTCTATTTTTTGGAGTAAATGACACAATGATCCTATTACCAAAGACATCTTCGTTTTCCATTCGCTTCTGAGCCCGTTCTGCACTATCTTGGTTTATGAAGCGGAGAATTGCACTGCAGCCTGTGATACTCAGCACTTTCCCACCACAATTATCAGACAGGCGCCTGAGCCTGTTGGTGATGCTCTTGCCATCTTTATTTGCTGGTAGGTTATAAACATAGAGCAGAGTGTGGCACTGCTGATACAGAGGAAAAGGGTTACAACGGGTTAACTCAAGGGCACACATTCAATTACAAAATTAGAAGAACAAGGAGTGATCTCCAAACTTAAGCTAACAACCTCGGAGGGGAGGTGGTAATGATCTTGAGGGAAGACGGTGAACTTACTTAAACCGAAAAAACCCAGAAAGAGGGAAATGTACCTTAAAGTACCACTCTGGCCAATGAGAATGGCAAGATTTAATGCTCTGAATAATCAAGTCTTTTTCTTCTTTTTAACCATGAAGAACAGGGACCTCAAAAGTGGGCAATCTCTGACCTAAAATACTACATTCGACTTAAAGGCCTCTGAGGCTAGAAAAGTAAATGCCAATTTCTTTAGGAGTCATATGTATATTCTCCAAATGGCTGAAATGCAGCTCAAGAGTGTAGTAAACGTGCTTTTCCCAAATCAAGACCATAAGGAATGCTCACCCTGCTGGAAATACGCGCGCACTTTCTCCTAGCACGCGGCTCAATAAGCTACAGGTGTAGCAATAACCGCTCTGAATCGTGCACATGCATGGTGGGGAATAGAACTATGCAAAACCAGCTCAGAGGGCTACTGAAGTTTAAGGATTAAATGCCCAAGACGTGTACGATTTACTCTGTTTATCTGACTGCAGCCACATGAGTGTGTGCAAACCATCACCATATTCTTTACCCGTGACTGCAAGAAAAAGACGTAATAAATCTTTCCCTACTGCTTTCATCCAGTTGACACAAACACTGCTGGCTTTGGAGACACTGACCAGAGGTGTTGGGAAGATAAACCTACAAGCCAATTCCCCACGATACCGTGAAACAAGCTAAAAGCAACATTCATACATGCCAATTCTCTATTGGTAAGAAAAGAACTATTTCTAAGCCTTACTTCAAAAATCTGGCCAGCCTCCTACAAAGAACAGCCTCACCTGGTGACCCCGTTAAGGGCGGTCTTCAGCCCCCAAAATCTAACATTAGAGTGCAGCAAAAGAAGAATGCAAACCCACTTACTGGCATTTTTAGTGGTAACCTGGGGGGCAAGTCGGAAATGAACTCTTCGAATCTGATCAGCTCATTAGCATGATGCAGCAGTGCTTCCGAGGCCTGGTTTTTATGGACCAAAATTATGTGGAAACCATGCCTGTGTCTCAGATCACTAAGCTCCAACGCAAAATTGACATCAGCTGAAAGAAAAGGCACAGCCCACCCCGTCCCCAAACATTAGAAAGACGTGACACAGACACACAGCTGTACTGCCCCCTACTGAGAAGGAAGGAATGGCTGGACTGGACTCAGAGTTGCTCCACCCCCCCGCCCCCCAGCTCCCACCCCCTTAACTGAAACAGGAACACGTTTCACACAAGAATGAACACCGTAGGGCAATTTTATCACATACTTCTACTGAATTCCAAGACACGTTACTTCCAATAGTAAAAGAGAGCAAATATTAATATTTCGGGAGCATCAGCTTTGGAAATTCTTCTTAGATTGTTAAAACTAGCAATACTGGGCCCAGGATACAAAAAAATAAAGTAGAATAAAAAATTACATTTTCTTTAACTGGCCCCACAAGAATCCATATTCAAGCTCTAAGGAGAAAATCCACAAAATCTACACAGACTCCGCTTTTTTCTCTAAACCGTTCTCAGAGGTAAGCACAAATATGGCCTGTGCATTTCAGCCTCTCTGGGGGCATATTTCACTCGAATGTGTTCTGGCTTCTGTAATAATTCCCACACAGCGAGTTTAGTGGAAATGAGCAGATGTCTCTGCACTTACTCGACACGAGAACCACAGTGGCTGGAGCAGTGTGAGTGTTCGCAAACCTTCGGAGACTCTGGCGCAGTTTGTCGTCAGCCGCGTTCTTGGCGGTAGCATTGATGTGGGCAACGGTCACCTGCGTTGATTCAGAGTGAGGACAAATGAGTAAGAGCTGAGCTTAGGAAATCACTACACATTCTGCCCACATCTTCAGAGACGGTCCTCAAGGAACGAAACTCTAGCTGTTGTTATTCTTGCCACTTAGCAATGAAAAAAAAAATCATAAACGGATCTCAGTAATTTCAAATTTGTGTCTCTGTACAAATGAACTAGATCCATTGTTAGCCCTGCACGCCTCTCTTCATCTGCTCTTGTACTTCATCCAACCCCCTTTCAGAAAACAGGCAGACAAGGAAGTGAGATATGAAGTAATGCAGCTCTAACAGCTTTTGCCAACAACCAGGAAGTAGCAGAGATGGACAGAGATGATGAACCTAAGATTTAGGGCTGTATATGATGTCACTTGTCTCTGCTACACATAGTCTATAGCTTTCAGGATCTGGGGTTAGGTGATGGGAGAGGAAAGGCATCTGTCCCCAAAAGAGCAAAAACGGATTTATTTCTGTTAAAGTTATCAGGCTTATACTGAAGTCTCCAAGGGCAAGGAGAGGTTTTGAGAGGCATTTCAACTACATACAATACACAATAGGATTTATTAGTTTTTTAAGGAGCATAAGTATGTAATTTTAGGCAGCAATATGGCATAAAAACAGAATTACTTGTCTAAGCGTCAAAAGAACTAGAATCTAGTTCCAGCTTACGAGAATAGACTTTGCAGTCAGACAATCTGGATTTAAATCCTAGCTCATCTGGTTACCGGCCACGTGATCTTTAAAAAGTTGTTTAACATCTTGGTGCCTCAGGTGAATTTGCAAATTTCAAATAATAAATCCTATGAGCCCTTTTCATAGAGCAGTCATGAAAATCAAAAGAAAGGATGCACACGTAACCATGCTGTGACACAGCACTAGTCACATATACGTGGCGTTACTGAAAGATCAAATACGATTAAGCGATTTCTAGTACTTCAGAGATAATCTTTTGCTAATTTCCTTTATTTGCCAACCTAGTAGAAATGCATATTTAACAAATTTTGAATTAAAATTATTAAAAAAAACACACATGTGCTTCTTCTTGTACCATAATAGATGAAAAAACCTTTTTTTTTTTTTACCTGGCAATTATTCAGCTCTTGAATAACTTCTTTGTTTTCTTTACTGATGTCACACACACAGATGAATTCTGCTTCTCTGTGGCCTTTAAAAAACTTCTCACGGATTCTCTGTACAACAGCAGTAGCTGAGCGGCCAGAGGGAACCGAACAGTTTTCAATATCCCAAAAAACTCCAATGGGGGGTAAGTTTTCCAGCACCTGTCCGGCTAGTGCAACTTCTGGTGACCCTTAGGAAATGTTAACACTTCCAATCACACATAGTGAAAAAAATAATGGCAAATTAAAATAATAGGTAGCTACCTATCATTTTTAGTGGCAGAAAAATGAAATTATTAATTGATGTTAAGCTTAAGGATACCAACCTCACTGGTTGACCTAAAAGGACAACCCCAAGTTGCAATAGCATTCCTAAGTGATTATTCCTCTTTTTCAGGAAAGAACAAATCTAAAGGTCAAGTTACTTCAGGCCCACAACAAATCCATTGCAAAGCATGAGCCATCCTCATGCTGACCGTTATGTCTACGTTTCTCTGTACACTAACACGTAGGCGAATGGACACTGCGGCTCTGGGACCTGTCATGCTCTGCCCACGCGTGTCTACCTGCTCAGTATGGAAGAGCAACGAAGAGGTGACAAAGGGTGAAGTTGTTACTGTCCTTGATTAAAAAAAAAAAAAATTTAACACTGCATTAACATCTGATTTAATACTAAAAAAAAAAAAAAGTTTTCCAAAGACAAAATATCACATTAACTACTTTTTGGGGAAATGATACTAGGTTTTTCAATTCTTGTTTTTTATCAACCATTACTAAATCTTTCTAAATAGTAAGTACTTCTATGGAGTGCGCCATCAAGAAGTGTAATTAGGAACCTAAGTTGACACTAAGTCCCCTCTGGCACTTATCTCTCCTAATATATACCTCGTATACCTAGTATTCTGTATACGGCATCCGACCTCAAACAGCCTCAGTGCAACGTAAAAGGCAAATGACTCGTCGGTGTCTAAGAATGAAAAGATTTTTTACCAAGAGGGAGAAATGGAGATGCACATACACAGTAGCTTTAGACCACAAGAATCTTTTCAAGGTGATTAAATGCAGTGTATCAGATACTGAAAACTACTTAAATATGCACATTTTATACCATACTGTCATTTACCAAATTTCGAAGCAGCTTTGCCTAGACTGGTCGCCAATAACAACGTGGTCTCCTTCCCTGCTCCTTTGGTTCCACAGCCATTACACAGAGGAATAGTAACAGGTGCAGTTTGAGTATTTGGAGGTGGTATATTTGGCCAGACTTTAGCAGCATCAATTATACTATTTCTTGCCGGCTGTTTTAAAAATTTTTTTAAAAAAAGGAGGAGGTTTCAGACACATCATTTCAGAACCTAGAGTTATAAACAACAACTGAAAACACATTCTAAGTGTTTCTTCTTTCCACCTGTTAGAATCTGTCGCCTCTGACAGAATGTATTTTCAATATTTCAGTGCATTCCCAGAACTATCAGCTGTTAATTCACAAACTCACTTCACAAAGTGACTTTAAATGGTCTGGGATGACTTTCACAGCCTAGGGCGTATGTATCCTGCAGAGGAGACCCAGACATACTTTCCGTAAAGGAAACTAAAATCTTTACTTGAACACCCGTGTGATCAAGGCCAAGTTCCAAGTCCCTCAAATTATTACCAAAGAACACCATGAGGTGACCTATGTTAACATGAATGGGTCCATATATGAGGTGAGTGTTAGTTATGAGAACTCTAGCCTTTAAAGACACAACAGAACCCGAAGCTTTGCCGAACTAGGTGTACGTGTAGGCAACGGATTTATTACAACGAGAGCCTCTAAAAGCACAAACTACGTGAATAAGGACTCTGCACGTTTTTGGATGGGCCTTCCCATTTTACCCTTCGCCTCTTTCGGGACCGACAGAGGCTATGCTGCTGGGGAGAAAGCTACCTCACAGAAGAATCTTCAGCCCCATGCACCACAAAGACTTTTCGAGATAGATCCACTTTAAAAAAGTCACTCCTCAAAAGTCAGCTGCACCCAACATAACAAATAAAAAGATACACACCTTGTTGAGACAGTCTTCGCAGTAAAGTGAGCCCTTTAAACAAACCGGAGGTACCACGTTTAGGTGCAAAGAATTGGTGCACAAGTGAGGCGTTAGCTCCGACTGTGAAATGTGCTCTTCCAAATGCCCCGGAGCCCCGCTTGTGAAATCAGAACAGGGGAAATAGCCAGCGGAGGCGCAGCCCTGGAGAGCCGGAAACTGATGCAGCTTGTGCACGTTACCATGGCAGGATTGGAAATGAAGCTTTCCACAACAGGGCAGGTGTTTGCAGGAAGATAGATTACTCTCTAGACACATGCTGGGGAAGTCACTTGCAAGGCCGGCCAAATTGTTCCTAGCTGAGGCATTCTGGAGCGAAGATGCAGACTGGAAGGCAAACCCTGACCCTACCTGACACGTGACTGTCCTGGTGCTCTGTGAGTCTAACAGTGCGCCTGGGTGAATCAAGCTACCGCTACCTCCGCTACCACCGCCGCCACCGCCACCACCAAAACGCATCGGCGAAGTGGAGGGTTCATTAGGGCAATGAGCGCAGCAGCTTACTTTGGGGACAGGTGAAAGCTGTATTTTAGGTTGCTGGAGAGAATGAATATCTGGAAGCGGGACTGCTGGGAAAAGTTTAGAGCCAGCATGAAGGGGAGACGGCACGTCCTTTAACTCCACAGCAGCTTTCTTGTTCTCCATGTAATCTTTCTGGGAAGAGAAGACCAGAAGGCAAGTTAGTTTCACGGGGCCGGTGAGTTTTGGTCACTCACATCCTACTGCAATCTAGAGACGGAAGTACTGTTCAGTCCTGTTTACATCACTCGATCACAACTAAACAGAAGGAGAACGGAGTGGCGGCTGAAAGCAGGGGCCTCATTCACAGAACAGGGAAATGGACAAACAAAATCAAGACCGTGTCCTTCCTGGATTTTAAGAGACTGGGGCAGGGTGCTGCTTACACGGTCAGCAAGGCAGGTTAACCATCTGTGCCTCAGCGACTTCCCTTTGATAACTTCCCCTTGCCTCACAGGGTCTTCTGAAGACAAAACAGGTGGTATGAAAACAACACAATCACGAATGGCGTTCAACAAGGATGGCTCACAAGCCAAGTGCGTTGAGGAAAATACTTAATGGTTCCTGCAGTCAGACCATAAAGGGTTTACTAAGGTCCTCCAGACGATTCCAAACTTTCGGATGAGATCAGCTATCTGCCCACATGGCCCATCCATGGAGTCTTAAACATGCTGTTGGGGACATGAAGCAAACTCCAGGCTATCATGACCTAAAGCCACAAGGCCAACCACTGCTATGTAGCCAGTGAAAAGGATTAATTAGAAAACTGTTTGGGCACAATATTCAAGAGAAATAGCTTGTCATATGCCTCCAACACAGACACAGGACGTTGTGTTGTCGCTGGTGTTAGAGACCTGGGTTGGAATGTGATACTCAGCAGTTGTAGGACCTGGGGTAAGGTACATAACCTCTCCATACTTCGGTTTCCTCATGCTTCAGTTGGGAACACGATGTAGCTCCTACAACGGCTAGGAGGATAAAACACGACAGTGCACATAAAGCACTCAGCAGGGTACCTGGTCACTGAAAGGGGATCTAACTAATCGATAGCCCTTCCTGGCTGGCTGCAGGAACTATTAAGAGAAAGCAGATATGGTGATGGAGACATGCTCTTCCCTCAGAGTACAGAATGGGCCATCTGACTGCTATGGTTTCACCCCTTTGGCTGTGGTTCTACATTAACCTGGGAGAGAACACTCATTTGGGAGAAATCAGGATCTGAAGATGTAGGATTTTTCAGGACAACTTCTCCTAAAAGGGCGGGGGTGGGTGGGGGGGGGTTGCT